TAAAGAGGGAAAAATAATGAAGTGGTTTTCTCACATTTGTCTAAAAACCTCTGCCAATAACACATTTTGGACTGAAAGCAACCACTAAACTAACCCTAACCCCTCTAAATTATTTAGCTGCACTTGAAGTGGGCGGGGCCTAAACAGGATTTGAGCATGGTTTAGCAGAACGTGGGTGGGGCTTAAATCGTACATTATTTGAAATCTGAAACTGATGTGGATTGATCAGAAGTTGCTATGTGTATTGTTTATTTGAAAACTATTTACAGAGCAGCCTCAGAGTTGAGATTAAATATTTTCGATCACAACAGTAAAGAAACTATTAAGAACAAGTTAAACTAAGAACATGAATATTCAAGTGCATAAATTAATACAGCTGAACTCATTCATCAGGAAATATGAACTACTAGAACAAGACACAACTTTTTGATTGTCATTTCTTTTTTTAGTTTTATCATCAGACAGATTATTTTTCTAACGTTCTTGACATTTTTTCCCCACACAAAGTTAAGAGGAGTGGAGACAAAGCGGAGGCAGTGAACGGCACGAGCCTTTTTCAGCTCTGTCTTGTCAAATGGAAAGCATATTTTACGAAACAAGGAACTAAATATTATACAAACCAAAAAAGGGGCAAGCTGAAGAAAACTTAAGGAGTACTGAAGCAACATGAGCTAGAGTCAAGCAAGCAGAGGGATCAGTCACTGTCCGGCTGCAGAGACGGGTTTGTGTAGAGGGGGCGGACACAGGCGCATTGCAAGCTTTTCAAAAGTGTGGGGGATGTTGTCTGTGGATGTCATCAGTTGTGAATTGAAACTCAACCTCAATCCAGTAACGGATCCGCGCATAATTCACAGTAAAAAAGTCCTTCCAAAAACATGCTTAATATTCACCAACGTATAAACTGCACACGTGCAGGACGGGAAGAACTAATCTTCCAAACAACAGAACCCATGTTTTCTCCACCAACAACACCCAATTCAACAATAAGCTGTTAAATCAAAAGGACGTAAAAAGACACTAAATACGCATTTAGAGAAAAACACACAGTAGTGACCATCCAATATCCTATCCACAGAATCCACCGTTTAAATTAAAGCCCAGGCTCTTCTCCTTCCAACAATATTCATGCACTCTAAGTGCAAAATTCACAGAGCCAGCAGCTAACAAACCACAGATTTCATGACGTGAAAAGCGTAAATTCAGTCTTACCTTTGTTGATTCATGGTCATAATCCATGTTATAGTAAAAACAATCCAATCCCTTTGTGTAATCCATCTTCACAACATCACACAAAGCTGATTCGTGGCTGTTTTAGCTTGCATCCATCCGACGCCAAATCCCAAAAAACTAGCCTAAAAAAATCAAAAGCGAGCGATTCTATTGGCTCAGAGGTTTCCTAACTAACCTGAACAGCTTCAATAATCATACGGCGGGGTCCGGAGAAACTCTCCTGAATAAACTGTAGTTCCAGCCCAGTCCACCAGCGCACAGGTGTACTCTGATCCAGGACCAGAACCGGGATCTTGAAATGAACCCTGAAGTTGACTGGCAGCCAGTGAAGCTGGAGGAGAAGCGGGGTGATGTGGGTGTGTTTGGAGGACTTGGTCAGAAGCCGAGCACAGGCATTCTGAACCACCTGTAGACGGTTCAGGGAGGTTCTGCTCAGACACGTGAGAGTTGCAGTAGTCTAAGTGTGAGGAGATGAAGGTGTGGAGAACTGTCTCAAGTTCAGAGCGGGACAGAATGGGACTCAGCTTAGCAATGTTCCTGAGATGGAAGAAGGAAGAGCCAACAAGAGAACTGACATGAGAATCCAGGGTGAGAGCTGGGTCAAAGGTCACGCCAAGATTCCTGACAGAGGGTTTGGTGTGAGAAGCAAGCTGACCAAGAGAGTCTCTGACTTTGGGAACCAGCTTGTCTGGGGCACAGATGAGGATCTCAGTCTTATCTTCATTCAGCTGAAGAAAGCTCCCAGCATCCAGGTTATGATAGAGTCTAAGCAGGTGTGTAACAGCTGCATCTTAGACATCTCATGGGGCTTAAGGGAGATTTACAGTTGGAAAGATACCCGAGGGGAGGGGTTAGTGTTCCATGACTGTGTTTGCGTTCAAAACCTAGCTCATTCTGTAAATTTGCTATAACAGCTTTTATACATGAGTAATATACCATATATATAATTCATTGTATGATCTCTCTTCACAACTGATTAAATGGAAAAAGATATTCTACAGTTAATATCCTGATCTAATTACGGGGAAACGTCAATTTTTGTTTGAGCACATAATGGAGTAGTTGTAACTTGTAACTTTGACCACTGTTTGGTCAAAATTACAGTGGGATGAAAAAGTTTGGGCAGTCTTGCATCTTCATGATTTTCCTGTATTGGTTGTTCCTATAACAAATTTCAGTTAAATATTTCATACAGTAGATTATAGTAGATATAGTATTTTCATGTAGTAGAGTATAGTAGGTATAGTATTTTCATATAGTAGAATATAGTAGGTATAGTATTTTCATATAGTAGAGTATATAAACCAAAAAAGAGTTTCATGACAAGTCTTCTTCATACTCCAGGGTTACTTGTGGAGTACCACAGGGTTCAGTGCTTGGACCAATTCTTTTTACTATATATATGCTCCCAATTGGTAAAATCATTAGACAGCATGGGATAAACTTTCACTGTTATGCTGACGATACTCAGTTATATTTATCCATTAACCCTGATGAACCTAATCGGTTGGGTAGATTACAGGCTTGTCTTGAGGACATAAAAAATTGGATGACTCTAAACTTTTTGCTTTTAAATCAAGACAAGGTGGAAGTTCTCATCTTTGGACCATAAATCCAGAAAAGGAAATTGCTTAGCCAATCACCTGACCTGAATGGCATTACATTAATCTCCGAGAACAAAGTAAGGAACCTTGGTGTTATCTTTGACCAGGACATGTCATTCAAATCCCAGGTTAAACAGGTTTGTAGGATTTCCTTTTTCCGCCTTCGGAATATTGCTAAGATTACAAGCATCCTTCCAGGAGTGATGCTGAAAAACTAGTTCATGCATTTATTACATCAAGACTGGATTACTGTAATTCATTACTCTCAGGAAGTCCACAGAATATAATTAAAAGTCTTCAGCTTGTCCAAAATGCTGCAGCTAGAGTTCTGATGAGAATTAAAAAGAGAGATCATATCTCTCCTGTCTTAGCTTCCCTACATTGGCTACCTGTTAAATTCAGAATAGATTTTAAGATCCTTCTCACATACATAGCTCTTAATAATCAAGCTACATCACATCATGATGACACATCGGCTGAGGCTTTTCAGGTTGCAGTCTCCCTGGGATCCCCGTGATCTGGGGCAGCTCCTGGATCTCTGGGACTTGGAGCTCCCTCCATCTCCTACACATCATTGGGGGCAGATCTGTGGCCCCTCCCACACTCTATTGGACGCTCCTATATAGAAACCTTACATATAGCTCAGGTACGCACACAGGTGCTCACATGGCGCTCTCATAAGTATGGACTTGGGCATGTTCAACACATGTCTTAAGGCTGTGGTGGGCACTAAATGCAATGTGATTTATTATCGTGATTGTTCAGCAACACAATGTTGATTTTATATTTCCTCATCAGGTTGATGCAGTGATAGCTTGCTCCTGTTGTATGTTGTGTGTCCCTTTTTTTGGGTTTGTTTTTCTCCTTCTGTAGGTCTAGAAGCAGACTCTTGTTCATTATTGATTGTTTATTTTTGTGCCCCCCCTTAGTCTCTTCCTTTCTCTTTCACCTCTGTCTTCGTGTCTGGTAGAAATTATTAAGCATTAAAAAAACAATAACAATACAGTTTTAAGTATCAGGCATGACATTAAAAGCAGACACTTTGATGCTCCACCTGAGAGTAAATCTGTAAGGCTTGTCACCAGCATTCAGACATCAATTCTGTTTGCTTCACAGCCAGACAGGACACAGGGGGTAAAAAAAATACATTTTACTTTCTTTGACATTGAATGTGCTACTACTAGTTTAGCCGTTTAATCATAGATCCACTAGGATAAATACAATAAAGTTTATCTCTCGCCAAATAGAATATTTACTAAGAAATCACAATGTAACCATAGAAACACTACTTGGTGTGTGTGTGTGTGTGTGTGTGTGTGTGTGTGTGTGTGTGTGTGTGTGTGTGTGTTTGTGTGTGTGTGTCTGCTCTGTCTTCTCCATCCCCAGTGAGTCGTGATGGATGGCTGCTTATACTGAGCCAGGATCCTCTCGAGGTTTCTTCCTGTTAAAAGGGAGTTTTCCTCTCCACTGTCGCTGCATGCTTGCTTAGTATGAGGATTGCTGTAAAGACTCTGACACTAGTCAGTGATTCGATGCAACCTGGTGGGTTCCTTATATAGGAAACATTTTACTGATTGGCTAAACAAACTGACCTGTATTGGAATGTTCACTGTGTGCCTTGAGACGACTCGTGTCATGATTTGGCGCTTTATAAATAAACTTGAATTGAATTAGAAACTTGAAAAACTCACTCATATTTTGACTGATGAACATTATAACAAGCATAATCATTCTGGCGTGTGTGAACAGGTTTATGAATGGGGTTCTCTCATAGTTCATGAGCTCCAGATCCCCATGGAGCTAAAACCTACCTAAAACATCCTGTCAGCCATAGTCTTCATAGAAAATAGACCCAGTAAATATGGCCACCATAGGGAGTAGCGGTTGACGCGGCATCCAGTCTTTAATGTCTATGCTGGGGAGGACGAACATCATGGCGTGTTCCATTTACCTCGGAAAACATACAACTACACATAAAATAAATTTTAGATGCACCCTTACCCTGAAACTGCTGTTGGTAATAACTGGTTACAGGTTGTCTCGTACACTGATTTTGTTTAAAGATGTTTTTAACTTGCTAAGACTCTTGTAATGTCTGCATGTTATAAATGTGTTTCACTAACAAGTGAATGGTGTATTACAGCATATTTTGTTTTCATCCAACAGGTTCCCAATGTTGAACATGTCCACCCCCAGTGAGCTGAAGTCTCCCTGCGTGACTCGAAATGGTCTGGTGAAGCTGCCCCCTACCCAGCCCAATGGCCTGGGCAGTGCAAGCATCACCAAGGGGACACCTGCTGCTAAGAACCGCATTTGTCAGTCATCCTCCGTTCCCTCTATCTTGCCACCACCTCCATCCTCCCTTCCCTACCATAACCATCACCACCATTTGGATGGGCCCGGCCTGCCTCTTGCTGCTGCACCTCTATTGACCTCTGACCTGGAGCCTGGCAAGCCTCTGGTGGGCCTGAAGCCGTCTTTTCGTCAACTTCCCCCTCTCACTCTACCCAAACCCATTCTGCTGGAGCGTCAGCTTGTTCTGGATGAGAAGCTACTTAACCGGCTACTCTGGTACTTCACTACAGCTGAAAAATGTGTCCTGGCTCAAGTATGCAAGACATGGCGCAAGGTGCTCTACCAGCCAAAGTTCTGGGAGGGGGTAACACCCATCCTTCATGCCACGGAGTTGTACAACATTCTGCCCAACGGGGAGAAGGAGTTTGTGAGTCTGCAGGCCTTTGCGTTGCGTGGATTCCAGTCTTTCTGTTTAGTAGGAGTGTCAGACCTCGACATTTGTGAGTTCATTGATAATTACCCGCTGTCCAAGAAGAGTGTTCGCTCTCTCAGCCTGAAGAGGTCCACTATCACAGATGCTGGTTTGGAGGTGAGTTTAGACCGTTAGAAGGTCAGTGGAACTACGGTTCAGTTCTTTTCACCATCATGTAGCTTTTGTTATGATCAAACTTTCTGTTATTAAGCACTAGTGGTCGATGCAGCATCTGGTCTTTAATGTCCATGCTGTTAACGTTGTGGTGCGTTCCATCTACCTCACTCCGCTGGGGAGAAGGACTGAGTTGGATTGATTTCCCCATGTTTGGCTGTCCCTCCCAGGACGTTGGGGTCAGCCCTTGGGGCTTGGGGTGGCTCCCTCTGGGCTGGCCTGTATTTGTGGGGGCTCCAGTGTGCTGGGCTGGGGGCTCCAGGCATGGCGACCACAAATGGATTCCCTTTGGCTGGGGGTTGGAGCTCTGACGTCCTCTGGCCTGGCCGACTGTTGTCCGTTTGTTGGTGGTTATCAGCTGCTGGAGTGTGTGTGGGCCCAGACTCTGGCACTGGTGGGAACTGGGCTGTTGGAGGGCAGCCCCTCCCTCACCACTTACACAACTTTAACAAGCAAAAGCATTCTCGTTTGCAAATCCACATACAGACAACCACAAACACATAGTTATTCACACAAACACAGCTTAGGTCCACACACACAATTAACCGCACAAATAAAATTTAGACACACACAAAAACACACACACACACCTACACAAACCTACACACCCACCTACACACACACACACACACACCTACACACACACACACACACACACACACACACACACACACACACACACACACACACACACACAATGAAGGCTACTATGCTACAGGAGATGAATCTAAAGGCCCTCTGGGTGCAGAGTGAAACTGCTCTGTCATGTTACGGCACCTGGATCAACAATTCCGTCTGCTTCAGCTTCCAGAACAGGACAGGAAAAAAGAAGCTAATCGATGTTTAAATGTTATGCACTTCGAGGTACATTTGTTTGTTTCCTACCTCTGCCTGGTTCCTCCGTCAGACTGACAGCCCATCGCCAAATGAGGAAACTCATGCTTTCAGTTATGTACTGTAGGGGTAGAAGCTGCAGCTGGGTACCAGTGTGGACTGAACAGGTAGAAGCAGTTAGAAAATGCCAGTATTCTCAGGGTAATGACTTGCTGCAACATACTAGGAAGAAAAGAACTAGTTCCCTTTTGGAACTATGAGCTGAACTAGTTCATTTTAAAATGTGTGAACATTTTTTAACTAGTTCATATATAAATGAAACTTTCCCTACACTGACTGTAAAGGAGGTGAGTTTGGTGTATCAGTCAGAATACAGGAAGAGGCCAGATGTCTCCTTTAGTAAAGATCCAAAGCTTTATTCTTTGGTTGATGTCGTCGTCTTGTGGTCGTCGTCTTCCTTCGCTTATCCGGGTCCGGGTCACGGGGGCAGCATCCCAACTAGGGAGTTCCAGACCGTCCTCACCCCAGCCACCTCCACCAGCTCCTCCGGCAGGACCCCAAGGCGTTCCCGGACCAGATTGGAGATGTAACCTCTCCAACCTGTCCTGGATCAACCCGCGGGCCTCCTGCTGGCAGGACATGCCCGAAACACCTCCCCAGGGAGGCGTGCAGGAGGCATCCTGACCAGATGCCCAAACCACCTCAACTGACTCCTTTCGATACGGAGGAGCAGCGGTTCTACTCCAAGTCCCTCCCGAATGTCCGAGCTCCTCACCATATCTCTAGGGCTGAGCCCGGCCACCCTACGGAGGAAACTCATTTTGGCCGCTTGTATCCGCGATCTCGTTCTTTCGGTCTTTACCCAAAGCTCATGACCATAGGTGAGGATTGGGACGTAGACTGACCGGTAAATCGAGAGCCTGGCTTTCTGGCTCAGCTCCCTCTTCACCACGACAGATTGGCTCAGTGTCCGCATCACTGCAGACGCCGAACCAATCCGCCTGTCGATCTCCCGATCCCTCCTACCCTCACTCGTGAACAAGACCCCGAGATACTTAAACTCCTCCACTTGAGGTAGGACCTCTCTCCCGACCCAGAGTTGGCAAGCCACCCTTTTCCGGTCGAGAACCATGGTCTCAGATTTGGAGGTGCTGATCCTCATCCCAGCTGCTTCTCACTCGGCCGCGAACCTACCCAGCAAGAGCTGAAGGTCAGAGCTGGATGAAGCTAGGAGGACCACATCATCCTCCTGCCACCAAACTCGACAAACTCCACACCATGGCTGCGCCTAGAAATTCTGTCCATAAAGATAATGAACAGAACCGGTGAGAGATTTTAGTTTCCCCTAAACCACTGTCACAAATGCCAGCTATGTGGCTTTGTGGGAGTAATATGGGAATATATAGACTTTACCTTTGGTCAAGTATGGTGGAGATGAAGTACAGTGGGTTGGTCTCTACGTCACTGAAGCGCTTCTTGACAGCTGTCAGTAAGGTTGCTTTCATTGTCTTGACACCGTGGTCCTCGTCGGTTTCTCTGTTTAGAAGTCTCACAAGCACAGTCACAGCTGGGATGACATCAGAGGCTAGTGCGTCATAGCTTCTCACTTTTTTAGTTAGTTCCTCAAAGGGGGCGAGTATGGCAACAATCTTCTCAATAAGAGCCCATTGGTGAGGGGTGAGACAGTCAGGGAGTTCATGCTCGGACACATACACACCCAGCACTCGCTTTTGCTCAATGAGGGACTGAAGCATGTAATACGTGCTGTTCCAGTGCGTCTGTACGTCCTGCTGCAGTCTCTTTATTGGCTGGTTCAGCTGTCCCTGAATGTCCTCGAGGCGGGAGTAGGCTAAGGCGGAATGCTTAAAATGCCCAACTGTTTTTCATCCCACTGCTATAGCATCAGCTATGCTCCTCTGTGCTAATAAGCCCTCGTGAACAGCCAGCTGGAGCGTGTGCACGACACACGGCAGACTTGGGAGCCCTGCGTCATTCATGGCTTTAATCATGTTTTTGGCATTGTCACGAAGCACAACGTGTACTGATGTTTTAGGTGTACCCCATGTCTGGAGCATTTCCTCAAACACATGCGCTATAGCCTGGCTGGTGTGCGAGCCGCGGAGTTGTTTCGCATGTAATATGGCTCGTTGCGGCGTGAAACTCTCGTCAATCCACTGGGACGTTAGGCTAATTAGCGACACGGGGCTAACACTGCTGGTCTAAATATCCGTGGTGAAACTAAACACAGAGGAGGCTTGCAGTCAGCTGTGGATATGTTTTTTCACAGAGTCGTGTAGTTTGGGCAGCTCTTTGTCAGTCATGTAGCGGCGGCTTGGGGCATCATATCTGGGCTCCAGAACATGGAGGAGACGCAGGAATCCCACATTTTCTACCTCCGAGAGTGGCTGGTCACTCTGTGCAATGTACTCCATAATAGCTTGTGTTATTTTCACAGCACGTGGATTGTCTTTGGACATTTTCTCTCATCTTGCAAGAGTTTGCTGCAACGTGGGTTGTGTTGGTTTAGCATCGGTAAACTCTTTGTACTCGTTGTCGTGTTTGGATTTTAAGTGCTTTATTAAATTACTTGTGTTTAATGCGCTACATTTTGCGCCTCCTCTGGACAATTTCGCCGAGCACAATTTGCAGTCCGCCTTTGTTTTGTCGTCTTCATCCACTTTGAAATAGTTCCACACTGCTGACATGTTGTTTATCCCGTGTCTCACCTCGCATTCTCCCTGCTCTGAGCTGAAGCTGGGACCCTGGGGGCGGGCACTCGGCACCTGTGATTAACCCCTTACTCGCTGCTCAAACATAGACATTTCTGAGACCGTGGTATCGGTCCCTGGCATCGAGGGACTTTTAACGAGTACGAATACTTTAGAAAATGTGGTATTGAGGCCGATACCCAATACCGGTATTGGTGCATCCCTAATTTTATTTATATAGCGCCAAATCACGACAAGAGTCATCTCAAGGCACTTCACATAATAAACATTCCAATACAGGTCAGTTCATGAAGCCAATCAGACAAAATGTTTCCTATATAAGGAACCCAGCAAATTGCATCAAGTCAAGGACTAGTGTGAGTGACTTTACAGCAATCCTCATACTAAGCAAGCATTTATCGACAGTGGAGAGGAAAACTCCCTTTTAACAGGAAGAAACCTCCAGAGGATCCTGGCTCAGTATAAGCAGCCATCCTCCACGGCTCACTGGGGATCGAGAAGACAGAGCACACACACACACACACACACACACACACACACACACACACACACACACACACACACACACACACACACACACACACACACACACACACACACACACACACACACACGCACGCACGCACACACACACACACACACACCAAGCAATGTGTCTATGGTTACATTGTGATTTCTTAGTAAATATTCTATTTGATGAGAGATAAACTTTATCGTATTCATCCTAGTGAATCTATAATTAAACGGCTAAACTAGTAGTAGCACATCCAACGTCAAGGAAAGCAAAAAGTTATTATCAGGAGAGGGAGAATGTTTAAGTGATTAGCAGCAGTGTGCTAGACGATGGCCCCCTCCATGAGGCAACCACAGCTCAGCAGAACATCATTGTAGCTTCTTCTGGGGAGAAAAACACTTAGAGAGAAAATAAAGTTAACAGCTGAAATTGCAGAAAATAATACAGTTAAAGAGCAGACTGTAGAAGAAAGCAGTAGAGTGTGAAAAGTGGTCAGTGTATCCTCCAGCAGTCTAAGCCTATAGCAGCAAAACTACAGAGATAACTCTGGATAACCTAGCCTTTTTATATGGAGGCATGTTGAAGGCAGGGCAAGGGAGAGCCGTCTTTACCGACTGTACACTCCACCTCCCTCTACTCCCCCACTTGTCCAGATCTAGGCTAAAATCAGATTTTAACCATAGGCCCTATCAAATAAAAATGTTTTAAGCCTAGTCTTAAAAGTAGACAAGGTGTCTGCCTCACGGACTAAAGCTGGGAGCTGGTTCCACAAGAGAGGAGCCTGATAACTGAAAGATCTGCCTCCCATCCTAATTTTAGATATTCTGGGAACCACCAGTAAACCTGCAGTCTGAGAGCAAAGTGCT